ACTAGCAAACTAAGGGTGAGTGCTATCAAAATGCTTCCACGCCTCTCCACATGCAGGATGAAAAATTTTCTCATTTTCATTATGACAATTTAAATGCCAAGTCATATGCTGAGCAATTTTCCTAGACATATACAATCTCTGAAGTCTAGGAATAATTGGAAGATACCACAAAGACTTTCTTGGTATAGGCTTAGCAGAATGCACATCACGCTGCTTAAATTGTGGCTCTTCACATACCAGGCACTATAAATAACACTGACTTTCATATTCTCCATAATACAAAATGCAATTGTTCACACAAACATCATACTTTTTATACCCGAGACCCAAACGCCTCAACATCTTCTTGGCACTATAATAATCTGTTGGCAATTTTTCCCTATCAACTTTTTTGAAGGCCATTAGACTACGCTTTAGCACATAGTCCCAATTAGTAACACTCATGTTAAAAAGTGTTTTTGCACTCATGAGCTCACACACCCACTTTAAGATAGTGACACCATCATCACACCCTTCAAAAAGAGGTGTATCAACTACTCGCAAAAGATCAAAGAACTCTTTTGCATCTCCTCTTGGCTCCTCAAATATCGATTCTATACTGACACCATATGGATCACCAAAACTAGCATCAAATTGTGTTGCATCTTCTACCCCTGTGGCACTATTTTCATTATTAAAAAAATTTGGTCTCATGGCATCATGAAGCATGTCTTTGAGTTGATCAACACTTGGAACATTATTCATAACAGCAGAAGCAGCAACAACGACAGCAACAACGACACTTGATGATTCACCCACTTGGGTGCAACGCCATTTTCTATGAATAATTTCTCCGTGTCTTTTCCAAATAAAATACCCATCCATGAAGCCACTCTTAATAAGAAGAGATTGCACTTTGCGTCAATGATGCCATTCTCTATTCCAACACTTACTACACAAACACCAAATCATATTCTTTGCACAAAATATTGAGTCCGTTTGTGAGAAATCAAAATCTAAGAAAATCTCTACCCTAGCATTAAATTCATTGTTCCAATACCCCATTTCATCTCGACAACAATACATCCAACTCCGATCTTCTCCCATAATTAAGTAGTACATGCCTTAAAAATTCAATAATATCTTAATATTACATAACAAGCACTAGAATCATAAATATCAATTTTGGTCCATCAACTTTATGATTTTACATAATTTTCATCCCTCAACTTTGTTTTGCTCATATTGGTCCTTCAACTATGAATAATGTACATTTTTAGTTCTTCTGTCAATTAAGTTTCTTTAGTGCATTGATAAAAGGACTAAAAATGAAAATTACTCATGATTGAGGGACCAAAATGAACAAAAAAAAGTTAAGGGACAAAAATTATGTAAAATCTTAAAATTAAGGAATCAAAATTAGCATTTATCCTTTTAAAATTACATATGCTACAATAATATATATAATCACATTTTTAACCAACTAAAAATCTACCTAATTTAATTCATCTTTATAATTAATTAAAAAATTATGAAAGTTAATTTGTTATACATTAATTATTATCATTTAATTTTATAAAATATAAATACAATACAAATTTAAATTAATTTATCTTCAATTTTTATATAAAAATTTAAGTTTTTAAATACTTCAAATTATTAGAATGAATATATTTAATTATAAATATAATAAAAATTTCAGTACAATATTTAATATAATTAATTTACTAATAATTCATTATTTAAAATATGAAAACAATAT